AAGGGAGGGCTCAGGGTCACCTGATCCAGCCCTAACTATAAGCTTTATCAAAAAGGAACGTCTTAAGTCTAATCTTAAAGGTAGAGAGGGTGTCCGCCTCCCGAACTGAGACTGGGAGTTGGTTCCATAGGAAAGGAGCTTGATAGCTAAAGGTTCTGCCTCCCATTCTGCTTCTGTGGACTCTAGGAACCACAAGTAGACCTGCACTCTGAGAGCAAAGTGCTCTGTTAGGATGATAAGGCTCTACGAGGTCTTTAAGCTCAACAGCACTGTGGCTCTTTGTCAGCCTGGCTACAGTGCTGAAAAGAAACCTGGGGTTGTTCTTATCGTCCTCATATGTGATGAATAAAATGCGGTTCTGGCACTATGAAGGGCTGTGTTGTTTGTGATCATCTGACTGGTCATCTATCCAGTGACACTGACAGTGCTAGTGAAATCCAATGAATGCTGTTAGCAGCAACAAGGGGGCACCAGTATAATTATTATTGCTATTGTTTTTATGCAGTATTTAACTATTTTGTGATTCAAGTAAATTCAATTTTGTTTCTATAGCGTCAAATCACAACAGTAGTAAGGTCTAGACCTTACTATTATTAATATTATAGAGGAAAAACCCAACAAATCCCCCTTGAGCAGGACTTGGCGACAGTGGGGAGGAAAATCTCCCTTTGATGAATGAAACCTAAGACAGAACCTGACTCTTGGTGGGCGACCTTCTGTCTCGACTGGTTGGCTGATATGGCTGTTTCACTTAAGGACAGAAGTGATGATAGTAGCATTAAGACGAGCAATAGAAAGAGGAGCGGCAGCATATTGATGTTATTAGTAGCATGTAGCAGCAGTAACAATAGTGGTAGGCAACTAGTAGTTCTTCCATATTGGCAGAAAAAATAGTAGTATAAGTAAGAGAAGTAGGAAAAATAGATCTTATGTATGGTACGCTATGTGCTTCAGTTGTATTATGTTACAGGACTGGCTTAAACTGACATGTTGTTATTTGCTGCCCTCTGCTGTTTGACCAGCAGTCGTCATGATTTGCTGCACTTTCTGAAAGCAGCAGATTTCTACTGTATATAAACAGTACAGTATGTTATTACTGTATCACGATACTGGGTGATTAACAGACACACACACAGCTGTTCCTACCTCACCCACACACCCATTCATCTCCATCACCAGCAGCTGGCTGGTGATTTGATTCAGACAAGATACCATGGTGTTAATGAGCACACCACATGCATGTGCAGGCGCACACAGGGTTATATTTGCACGGATACTGTACATGTAGGTGTTCATATTTGCATTGAACTGCAGAGAAAATTAAACTGACTCTCCAGATACATTACTGTCATTTTCATACATTTACTCTATATTAAATCTATTGCTCTATATTATCTACTCTATATTAAATCGTTGTATCAGTGTTCCTTATTTAAAATGGAAAATATGTACAAATTGCCCAAATATTCACCAAATGAAGAGACATGGATTCAATTCCACAAGAAACATGAACACACAAAAGCACAGCCAGTGTGTTCTGTATAAAACTGAAGCATGACACAAGCTAAAAAAACAGTAACAATCAAGTCTGCTAGTAATTAGCATTAGACAACAGTCGTCCTAAAATCATGATAAATTCCCATAACAAACCATAGAGTATAGTATATAATGTCAGTAACAATCTATTAAAGTCAGATTTTAATATTGTACTTGAATATAATGGCATCCATAAAAGCAAAATGTTGTATTTTACTTTATTATTTGGACACTTAGAAATCATACAACCCTATAGAAATGTTTCCTCACACCAAACCCTGAAGAGGGTGCCATTGTAGCTCTGATGAGCACACACAACTCATCACCATCTGTCGCATCTCCGCTTTGATTCACCTTCTGCCAAAGTTTATTTAGTCTAGATCTTCATTTCTTTCAGTCATATCACTTGAGATATCAGCTGTTTTATCTAAGGAGCATGGGCAAGACTTGGGTCAAACCACAGCTGCAGGCAACTGTTGGTTTTATATAAAGTTTTACGCTGTCATGTGGAAAAACACCTTCTTCATGGTGGCTAATAGACCAGTTTGCTGTAAATACATTTATATATTTCAGTGACTGTCCTTCGCCAACACGTCTATCGTGCTGTTTGTTCCTAACAAATGTTCAGCTGCAGGCCAAAACGTCAAAAAGTAGACTGACTTTCAAAAGTTGTGAAATTTAACGAGAGGGTAAAGCCGCACTAATCAATATTTTTGTACAAACAATATATCAAATAATAGACAAAATGATGAACCCAAAGATAATTTTCATCCTATTCTGCAGTTTCTCTCAGTTCCACAAAGCTACATTATCTTTCAGTTCATTGTTTAATTTTTTTCAGCACTACTCTTCTGCTTCAGCCTCCCATCAACCTCAGTTTTAGCAGCAGCTGTTTTCACACACACACAAAAGCTCTGACAAAACACCACCTTTCTGGCATCAAACAGCAGACAGATGAACATTAGTGACTCGCTAGTGAATACAGTCAGGACTTGTTGGAGACAGAGTTAAGAGCAGAGTGAATGTTGGACTTACATTTATCAGCTGGACAACAAAGAAGACATGAAGTTTAAAAAATCTTTTAGCTTTTGTTGTAATATAGCAATGCACCAACACCAAATCTAATGACACTGGAGCATATAGAATGCACAGGTAAAATGGATGTGCGTCAAGTATTTGAGAAAATTAAAACAAACACAAGCATCCTCATTTATCATAAAAGAAATTGTCGATATTAATGTTTGATATTAACTGGTTGAACAAGGATTCGTTTAACTTTCACCTAAATGTGGAAATCAGTGTTTGGTTTATGGTTGATGCATCACAGGAGCTACTGTCTATAACAATATACTCTACACATCAGTGGAATCGTGTGACTTTGGTGTATGATGACCGTATGTTCTTAGGAGCAATAAAACAAGTCAAACCCTCCTGAAAACCAAAAAATATGAATTCACCTTTACTATTGAATTTATTTCACAACTTTACTTTCTCACCATGATTAATTAAAAGGCTTCACTCACACCCTTTTTAACTAGCTTGCCTATACGCTCCCTGTGATCACACAGCCGCTTCACTGCCTCCTACGTTCGCGTTTCATCGTTGTTTCCTCAGCATGCACAGTAACTACACATGAGCAAACGCTGCTTGGTCTGCAGTTAGATGCCAGTCAGTGATTAATTAGTATCCAGTTCATAAACCCCCTGAATTAGCAGCAGAGCACTCGGGCTAATGAGCTGACTGTGAACCTGGAGGTTACAGTGACCAGCACAACTCATCTGTCAAGACCTGAGGACTAGTGGAGTCACACAGGCCTCAGATCAGCTGGGGTGTACAGCCTGAGAGAAAGGTGAGAGTGATGTCAGCAGCTACTGACTGAACTATCTCGCCTTTACTGGTAATTGTGTAGATGTATTAAACACCGGACGAGATGTATGACAGCATGTACAACAGCTAATTAACTCATATGAAAGTTGCTTTAATGGCGTAAGTACAACACAAAAAGGAAATACGCCTTTATACGCCTATATAATAAATTAATAAGATTATTTGAGCTATATTAAAATTTTACATGACTCTCGTGAGGTTGAGGGCATACAGTAATAGAGATGTTGTTAAGGCCCAGTATGATGATGGGTGGCTCATAGAACATCTGTGGACTGACAGCTGTTTGATACTGTGTGGCTAATATCTACTCCTTTTATTGCTTGTATGCCCTTTAATCATTTGTCTCTTCTCAGTCAGAGCTGCTACAATTTATCATGTCACCACTTGAACCAGGTTCATGATCATTTTGTCCAGTCGGTGATGAACACAATAATGCATCAGTAACTATAATCAAATAATATGATATGCATTAATATGAAATGTGCCATTCTGCACTGTGGGTACTTTGACTTTTAGTACTTTATTTTGGTGCTAATACTTTTACTTAAGTAATATTTTGAATGTGGGGCTTGTAAAGAATATTTGTACACTGTGGTATTGCTACTGTTACTTGAGTAAAGGATCTAAGTACTTCCTCTGGTTGCCAACAAATCATTACGCATTAGCCTAATGCTTTATTTTATGAACAAGCTTAAAGAGATTTTATTTAACATGTATGACTGGCCTCACTTTTAGCTACATGTTCACACTCACTACCCAGCAGAGACTTGGTGAATTAGCATCAGTGTTCCTCATTTGCTTCACTGGGCCCCACCTGCAAAACAGAAAACAGACTTCACTGTGTACACAGCAGGTGAAAGAAAGATGTCACCACAAGGTTTATTTTGTAGCTGTTCTGGAGCTTTTATCATACAACATGTTCTTCATCACCACCCATTTTTTCCTCAGCACTTTAGGGACTTGTCATCCATGTTTATAAAAAAGAGTACTGAGATTGTTTCTCACCTTTGTCCAGTTTCATGAGTGAACTTCACCTATGAACCCAACATGGATGAGAACGTAAAATTTGAATTCCTGAAAAATTGGGGGGAAACTAAAAGCAATACAATGTTTTTTTGTTATTCAGCTGTCAGCTCCTTCAGATTTAACATGTAGAAACGTTAAGCAGGACACTGCAGTTTAACCAGCAGGCACACCTAGTGGCCGTCCAGCAGTAGGTCAGCCTGGGTGGCTGCACACAGCTCTCCAGAGGTCCAGACCTCAAAAGTGTGGTTATGCGTAGCCCAACCCCAAAAATGAAATGTGTGTGTACCTGTGGCTAATGTTTTCCACATAAGCCAAACAAAGAACAAAAAAAAACAACTTAAGAATGACTTGGAGTAAACAAACAAACCCTAAATGTCCCAGTTACTGAGCTTTAATGTGCTTTTAAAATTCTAATCCCTCACACAGCTCTTCTCTGAAAAACGTAATTACATCACTGTAACGTGTTAAAGGTGTTAATAGGTAACACTGCATTAGTGAACATCACTGTCAGTGGTTCATATTAAATTAATGCCATTTAACTGTGTTGAATGCTGGTTTTCAAATATGTTAAATAGGCGATTGTTTCCAAGATAAACACTGACTGGATACACAAGCTTTACTGTCACTGGTTCATTAAGAAACACCACCTAGAAAGCAAGTGTTTTTTATATTCTCAGGCCACAGTGTGAAGAATACAGCCCTCCCATAATGCACCACACAGGACTGCAACAACAGGCCTCTCCACTCTGATTGCGGTCTGACCCACTTGGCCCGTGTCGGACACATGGTCTGGTTCAGTGCTGCCAGCTGCTGTTGCCATGGGTGATGATGAAGATGTTGGCATGGGCATCGACTCAGGTGCCATCTCCAAGGAAACCAGCAGGGCTGTGACAATCTGATCATCGCTGTGGTGAGTGACACCTGACTGCACCCCCAACCTGGAGCGGCTAACGCCGTCAGCTGTTCTCAGCAGGCCTGAATGACAGAGACACTGACATTTTGTATGACCTGATGAAGAGCGCTCTGACTGATTTAAATGATAAATAATCAATTTTTAAAATAAAATTTAAAAAGGCTAATAAGTGTGTGTGTGGGTGTGTGTGTTTTTACCATAAACGGAAGATGTGTCAAAGTTTTTCCAGGTCAGAATAGAAATGTATTCGCAGTTTCACTCTCGGGTAACTCAATCAAGTTAATTAGACTGCAATCAAGGCTTTATCATTATTTAACATTTTGCCTCTTTGATGTTGATGTGTTGGATTCATTGCTCTGAGCGCGCACACAGACACACACACACACACACA